AATCCATCGATGATCAGGCCCCGCCCACAGGCCGCTTGCCCGATGGCCGGAGGGCACCGGCTCACTCGGGCCGAGCCCACACCCCTCCCTTGGAGGGAGTGTGGACTCGGCCCGTTTGAGCCGGTGCCCGCCGGCCATCGGGCAAGCCTGAGCTCCGTATACTGTAATGGTCGGGACCTCCGTGAAAATCTTTGAGGGGGAGTGTACAAAAGAATAAGAGCATAATGAGTGAGGGAGGTAACATTAAGGTGCATGGTAACTGGAAGAAGAGCGGACGGAGAGGCAAGGTGCGCTGGATATTGAACGGTGTTGATCACGGAAGCGCAGATCAATCCACGCAGATTTTCGGTTCCAGAGATAGATTAGTTGTGAATCTTACCACTCTGTGTGCAGAGTACAGTAATACTCGTGATCTCAGGGAGAATTATTGACGGACTGGGAAAGGAGGACATGCATAAACGGCGGGAAATGAGTCTGAAGTAGAGATAGGAGCTCTGGTCATCGATAGGCATTGATTATTGATTGAATAACAGACCAATTAGTGGTGTATTTAAGGAGGAGGTCTTGCTACCAGTGCGTGAACATCCGATGCTCAGCCCAACGAGACAGTCCAGTTCTGAAGAAGCTGCACGTCTTGTAGACATGGACAGAAATGAAGCGAAATTGATGGAAAAAACGGAAAATCGGAGAAAAACTGCCAGTTCGGAGCGAAGAGCCAGAAATCGTTTCAATACCAAATTGATTTGGTTAATCGATAGAATGGAAAATCGCTGCTCACCATAGCAAGGATCGGATGCCATTTACTCTGAGCTCAACTGCCGAGAAATTTTCGCGATGGGAGCCGTACACAATACGATACACATTCTGATAGAGCAACGGGAAGGCGATATTTTGGTGAGCACCCAGTACCCTATTATGGGGGTGCAAGATCTGACCAGTAGCTGCTGCACCTGAGCTCGGATGCAAAGGGGTCGGGGTGGGTGTCCCAAAGCTAACGGTGAACCGAAAAAATGGTGAATAGTCGAAAGAAAGAGTTTCGTCTTCGAAAACTGGTGGAAAACCTGAGAACTGATTATTTCAAAAATGACAAAAATTGTAAAATCGGTGTCATGCCGCTGTGCCGATCCTCGATAGTCAATCGTTTAATTGGTCAAAACGGCTACCCACTTCAGCGACCCTCCCCCTCTCCTAACGTACATTCTCTGTACCATCGTGGAGAGGTATGTTTCCAAAAAAGAACAGCATAAAATACGCTACACGTGCTAGAGTACAGAGGAAACTCCTTACGCCAAGATGGGGCAGAAATGGCGCCGCAACACACCCGGCGAGTGTTGTTGAGAACCGTCAGCCAGCGAGTGTGGATTATATTCGTGCTGGAAACGCGGTCAGAACATCGGGGCTTTTGGGAAGGTACCAAGGGAAGGTAACATAGTATTGACCAGGTGAGGCGCTTTTAATGGAAGCCAGTAAAACACGCGAAGAATTTTGGTATCGTGTAAGCCAACGATTGGCTTGAATGCCGAGCAACTATAAACGCAAGATTAAACTATCAAGATGAACAAAAGCCCAAAAAGTATTTTTGAACATGTGGTAATAGTCCTTTCCACATTTGCATCCAAGGCCTGGACAATGCGATCCACCGACCTTACAGGCCTACGACCCGATGCTTACCCACTACGCTAGGTAGTGACATCAGGCTGTGTTTACGATGCAACATGTAATACTTCTTTCAACTTGAGCGGCCGCCTCTGCTTGGGTAGGCCTCCTGAGAGCTCAACTGGTATATGTTTGTGTATATCATATTTCTGGTATTTCTGGTATTTCAACTAATGTAAGCTCAAATGATTTACTCGAAGCGCCCCAAGTCTTACGGTCGCCGGCTCAGTTTCTTGCATACGAAACTTCGGATGTATCCTAACAAATATCGATCCTCCGAAACTTCGGTCGCTCTATGATGACGGAAATATCAGAGGGCCTGAAAAAAATGAGCAGCAGTGCAAAAAATTCTTATACTTCAGATCGGACTTAGTGCTACAGCAGCCGTTCACTCATCCAAATCCATCGATGATCAGACCCCGCCCACAGGCCGCTTGCCCGAGTGAGCCGGTGCCCGCCGGCCATCGGGCAAGCCTGAGCACCGTATACTGTACTGTTCGGGACCTCCGTGAAACTCGTTGAGGGAGAGAGCACAGAAGAGCAAGAGCATACTGAGTGAGGGAGGTAGCAGTAAGGTGCGTGGTAATTGGGAGGAGAACGGGGGGAGGTCCAAGGTGCGTTTGATATTGAACGTTGATCAATGGAGCGCAGATCAATCCACGCAACCTTTCGGCTTTACAGATGGATTAGTTCTGAATCGTACCATTCTGTGGGCAGAATACAGCAATACTCGTGATCTCAGGGAGAATTATTGACGGAATGGGAGAGGAGGACATGCACAATTGGCAGGAAATGAGGCAGTGGTACAGGTAGGAACTCTGACCACCGAAAGGCATTGATCATTGATTGAATGGCAGACCAGTCGATGGTGTACCCTCCTAATAAAGAATTTTCTTCAGTAAACAGCGCGAAGTACGCTACTCGTGATACTAGAAACCAGAGAGATGCAGGTATCGGTTGGGTGTGGCACACGGGCCGCTGAAGCCTGCCTGGACTGGTTGATAACCGCCGAACGGCTTGTACTGATCCATCGCCCAGTTGGCGAGATGGTTACATAGCGGGCCCTTGCTGGAGACAATGGGTGAAGCTGAATTCGGTAAAATTGTGTCCCCTAAAGCTGTGGGGACCCGAGTGAAGGATTCTCGTTTGAATTTGCAATTACGTGTTGAATTTTGGTTTAGAGTAGGCTCAAAAACCGATCGGCTGAAAATGTAAGGCTTTACTATTTTGCTGGTTGTTAGCAGGGAAGAGCTTGATGGAGGTGGGTTCCTACACTGCTGCCTTTTTACTCCTTTTCAGCGGTTCCCAATCCAGTGATTGGCTCCCTCCAAGCTCTAACGCGATGGCTTCGTATCTCAAAATGCTCAACTTGTGAGAATCTCTTATCAGGAGAGCAAAGAGAAAATAAATACAGCTTATGGTAAGGGGAACTAAGTAAGTAGGGAACGAGCGCGTCAGCGAATCTGAAAATGGAACCACCCATATGGGACAGGCCCAGATGGCCACGCCCTGATATGAAACACCGTTTTTATTACATTTTTTCACAAAATAAAATTTACATTACACTCTGAATTACGAAAACCACTTAGGGCATGAAGACTAGAAAATGGGGGGACTGTTAAGCAGAAGCAGACGGGAGGAGAGGTGAAGGAAAGCTTCGAAAAAGGTGGGGGAAAAGGGGAAGGGAGCGCTGGGTATTGAATGGCGTTGATCACTGGACAGCAGATCTACTCATGATGCACCAAAACTAACATAAGCTGTTACAGTTTCAAATGGGTATGGAAGTCGAACAAACCCAGTGAAGCCCTTGCCCATAAAATTCTAGCTTATTCACCGATTTTTCCTTTTCCAATCAATCCTTTTTTCGGTACCATACCGGAGCACACCTGACTAGCCCCCTCGTAGGGTAGTGGGAGCGCTGTGCTATGTGATAATGAGCCGTTTCGCTTCAGAAGCATGCAGTACTGCTACAGAGTGATTGAAGACGACAGGTATCGGGGGAAGAACGAAACTGCGAAATGAGTCAGCACTCACATGCCCCTGTAGATGGTGTGGCTGCTTGAAGCACAGGATAAACCACTAGTTGTTCAATACTTTTTGGTAATTTGTATCACTATTGAATAATTTTTACTGATTGTATCATTTTTACAAATTTTTGGTAATTTGTATCATTATTGTATTATTTTTACAAGTTTCTGATCATTTTTTCCAGTAGCCTACTTTTACCGATGGATTGTCGAATCCAATGAGAGTTTACGGCTAGCCTTGGCCGGTCTATTACCCTAAAATTCCATAGATAAGAGCGGTTGAAACTACCGGTGAAAAATAAGTGGAATGAAATTGAAATTGAATGCAGTCACCCTCTAACTTGATGGATGGATAAATTAAACTTCGAAGAAGAAGTTAAGAAGAAGCTCCGCCCCTTACCTCCAAACCCCGCCCACTTAATGAACAATTCATATAGAAAAATAGCGATTTTAATGGATTGCTGTTTTTCTATATGAACTGTTTATTAAGTGGGCGGGGTTTGGAATTAAGGGGCGAAACT